TAACCTTTATGGCTTTAGACAACTAGATATTTACATAGCTTTCTTTCTGCATGTGTGTGTGCGTATGTGTGTTTTGTATATATTTTTAACAGTTGACAGCTGTTTTAGAGCATACAGAGATGCCACCCTGAATGAGGGCCTTGATTACTTCAAGATTAGCTATCTAAAGTTTCTATTCATTTTAAGTGTTGTTAGTTGGAAGAGTCATTAGTCACTTCCTTGTCTCATAGAACATCAGCATACATTTACATTGTTAATGAACATTTGGGGTAAATGAATTAATGGCACTTTTAAACATCAATTCAGTCCTAATAACTTTGTATGTCACAGAAATGGTAGGCAAGGATATAAACGAAAAGCCTTTTCAGTAAAGGTAACTACTTATTCCTGCATACAATATAGGATGAAATTAATTTAATATGTTTAACTGGTTTAAAAAAAACCCACCTCAGTATTTAATGAAATAGACCATAGAAAAATAGCTGTTCACACACGCGCACACATGCACGTGCAGACAGTGCTTTAAAATAAGCGCATGGACCAAAATAATGTGAAAAAATTTAGTGCGATAATTTTATATACTTGTAACACATACATACTTAATTTTAAATTATTCACTTATGAAACTACTGTTGGAAAAATAATTTGATCTATTTAATTATGAGTATTTCTATATAGGTATTTTACGTATAAAGAAACACCATTATAAATGGTCTTATTATATTTACAAATGAATGATTAAATTGAAATTATAATAGACATGAATAAATTTTTCAATTTATTGAAACCATAAACCAACAGCACTCTTTTGGAGTTATTAGGTAACATTTATAAAATCAAAAAGTAAATTGTAGAACAAATTAGTGTAGCATAAAAATTGCAATAGCATTTTATTTATGATCCAGACGTTTTTAAAGAATTACACAAAGCACAAACACTCTCCATATAGTATAGAGCTTTTAAACTAAATAAATAGCCACATTATTTTTTCACTAATAATTCCCAACTCCTATTTTAATGCCAGACCTTGACATCAATAAAGATTTTAAAGAAAAACCAAAGAATAGAAAACACATGTGAGATATTTTGACTAATTTGTGATTTCTGAAAATAGACCTCACACTTCTGAAATATTACTTTTCATGAGTAAAAATCTAAGTAGTCAAGAAAGCGTGAAATATTTTATAAGTTACTTAAAAGAATAAGGCCTTAAGAATTATCAAAGTTCATTGTCTCCGTGTAATATACTGTTACTATTATTATTAAATGAATTGCAAGTAATACAGATTTCTGATGCACAGATTTTAAAAATGAAATAGGCTATTTTAAAAACGAAATAGGCTATTTTAAACCCTTATTGCCATCTACCTTAACATAAGAAAATTCTTTTAACATTTCAAATGTATAGATTTAAATGTATGACACAAATATAAAGGATTTAAAGTAACAAACGGATCAAGGATCTAACTGTAAGCACAAAAACCGGGAGGTTTTTTAAAAGACTATATTCTTAAATCATTGGGACCCAGTTTTTAACGTTTTTAAGTATGACAAGGAAAGCAGGGCAACAATGGCTCTATAAATTAGTAGGACTTTCTCAGAATAGAAAGCATTTGCTTATCAAAAGAATTTGTCAACAAAATGAAGAGCCAGCCTACAGACTGAAATGGAAATCTTGGAACCATATATTTGACAAGTTTAATGTTCGGAATATGTCAAGAACTCCGAATTAACAACAAAAAGGCAAACAACCCATTCAAAAGAGAGGCAAAAACTTGAGCAGGCATTTCACCAAAGAAAATAAAACATAAGAAATGGACTACACAGACATGAAAAATAAATGCTCAAAGTGATTAGTCATTAAGAAATGTAAATGAGATTATCACTTCATACTTACTAAGATGGCTCTGAGAAATAAAACAGGAAACAAGATGTTCTAGTGAGGATGTGGAGAAATTAAAGCCTCACCCATTGCCAGTGGGATTAAAAATGGCCAACGACTGTATAAAAATGGTTTGGTAGTTCCTCAAAAAGTTAAACATAGAATTACCATATGATACAACAATCTCATTAATCAGTATATACCCCAAAGCACTGAAAATAGGCACGTAGATAGAAACTTATACACAATGTTTATTGCAGAACTATTCAGAATAGCCAAAGATGGAAACTGCCTAAGTGTCTATCAACAGATGGAAAACATACGTGTGTGTGTGTGTGTGTGTGTGTGTGTGTGTGTGTGTCCCCTTGGTGGCGTAGTGGTTACATGTTAGACTACTAACCACACACAAGCCAGCATTTCAAATTCATCAGCTGCTCTGTAAGAGAACACCTAGGCTTTCTACTCCCATAGAGAGACAGTCTCAGAAACCCACAGCAGCAGTTCTACACTCTCCATTGGATCACTATGAGTCAGAATTGACTTGATGGTAGTGACTCTGAGGTTTATACATGTCTAATAGAAAATATTACTCAGCACTAAAGAATTAAATCTTGACACGAGTGAAACGTGAAAACATCATGCTAACTGAAATAAGTTCATCATAAAAGGACAAATACTGTATGATGCCATTTACTATGAAATCTCTAGAATAGGCAAGCATATAGAGACCAGAGTTATTACTGACTAGCAGAGGAGAACAGAAGGAGAAGCACAGGGAACGAGGCATAGCTTAAGGGTACTAAGCTTCTATTAAGGGTAATGGAAATTTTTGGACAATGGTAATGGCTAAACGAAATAAATGTAATCAATGTCACCAAATGGTAAGCGCAAAAAAAGGTTAAGTACTACAAAAAAAACACTGAAATAGTAAATGTTTCATTACATGTATATTGGAAATTTTAAAAAAGAGAGAATTAGGCAATCCTTTTATTTCCACTTGTTGGCGGGGTTTGAGGATAGTTAAGCTTGCAAAGGCAATACCAAAATGTAAGCTTTGCTGACAAAGGCCTTTTGTGCTCCAAGTCTTTGTCTGCTGAAGCCATTACGGTTACAGTTACGGTTTATTTAAAAAGAATGACAGTGCGTTCGGTATTTGGTTGACATTTCGGTCTATAATGAGAAGTTGAGTTTTTGATGATGCGCATTCACGTCCAGGGTGATCTTGCACACATCAGGGAAATATTCTTCAAGTAGTAGCCTTGGGAGAATTACAAACCACACGAGCAGCAGCCAATGCTAACTGGATCCCTGGTTCTTGCTAGGTTTTCCAGAACCAACAGACAGACAGCATCCACTAACAAAACTCACCTCCAGACTTGGTGGAGTAACCCGACAGGGGGTCAATGCCAACTTCCTGTTCTTCTGGCTGAAGTGGATGCCGCGTCTCCGATAAGGAATGATACATTTCTGGTAGGGACTGGCCAACGTCTCCAAAAGATGACTATCTAGAAGGTGAAAAATAAAGAGGTAATAACATGTTTTGTTTTGCTTTTTTCCTTTCTGAATCTACTGGGAATAAATTGAATATTGAAAAGGGCATCACAGACATAAAGAAGCGTGCCCAGGCTCCAGGGACTGTGACTGTGCACTGGAAGGCATGCAGGGAGAGGTGAGAAAGGTAGCACAAAATTTTGATGTCAACAATTTCTTCCCCAATTTAACTTTACTTATTACAACATTTCACTCAGTGTTGAGTCGCATTTATTTTCAATTAAATATGGAATAGCTGAACTGTAAGTGAAATTATTCTCACACTCATAACATGCTTTTGTTTCACTGTCAAAGAAATCCATAGTCCTAACAGAAACTTTCAAGGGAGAGAGAAACATAGCAAATTAAAATCATTCATATTTCTTTCCATTTTTAACAAATGACAATTTTTCAGGTGATCGATCTCTCATACCTTTAAGCCTTGCCTTTGTTCTGGATATTTAAATTAGATAGATAGATAGATAGATAGATAGACAGATAGATCAGATTAGATTGATCAGATAGATTGATTAGATAGATTAGATAGATAGATAGATAATTACAAATTGGGCTGCTACCCGCAATTCAACAGTTTGAAACCACCAACCGCTCTGTGAGAGAAAGAAGGGGCTTTCGAATCCTCTATAAAGTTAGTTTGGAAACTCAGGGGGCAGTTCTATCTTGCCCTTCAGGGTCAGAAGGAATTGTAGTCAACTGGATGGCAGGGCATCATGGTATTGGGTCAGCATCAGTCAGAACTGACTCAATAAATTTTGGTTTTGGGTGTCATACTAATTCGATAGTCGACTTTATTTTATATCATGAGTATTTTCCTTGCCAGTAAAACCGAATATGCTACTATTGACTTTAATGGCTCCTTAGCATTTTGTTGTATAGCTGTAACAAATGAAGGGATGCAAGTCCAGAGCCCTATAGGCACAGTGATGAAGACGCGCTCAATTGCTAGCAACAGGCCGACAGTTCACACTAGGACAGAAAGTCCTGCTTCCGTGAAGAATACAGCTCAGAGGCTTTAAGGGGCAGGGCTACTCAATCTAGGTGGTTTCCAGGTGTCGGCATCCACTAGACAACACAGGTTTGTTTGGTTTCTTAATCTAAATACAGATATGGTTTTTTAATAGGGGACTTTGGATAGTTTTTTTTTATAATTGCTAGACTAAAACATATGGGGTCAAAAGGTTTTTTTTGATAACTTTTGCATACTTTACAAAAAATATTTAGACAATAGAATATTTCTCCTGGTTCTTCATTGAAAATGGGTAGTTCCCTTTTATCTGGGGGGTACAATAGCCAAATGATATATTTTTCAAAATTATTTTGCTTGGTAACTTGATGATCTTACTAAAGATATATACTTCTCTGACATGTTTGTTTTTATGAATGAGTATTAAAATGATTGTCTCCAATCCTACGAACACATGTTTTCACCTGTAACAATTCCCTGGAATGCCATCCTGCGTGTAAAAAATGATCCCTCTGAGAAGCGGGAGGTGAGATATCACTACCAGCCAAAGCCAGGAGTGGAGTGTGCCCTCTGGATCCGAGGTCCCTGTGCATGATCTCCTAGATCCAGAAGACAGCTGTAATATCAAAGGAGCAGCAGCAGAAGCAGGAGCTGGAGCATGGGACAGAGTGGTGGACTTCCCTACTCACAGAGCAAGTAGAGCCCAGTGCTTTGTGCAGCAGGCTGGCTTGTGGAGTGGGGTGCCTCTTAGCCCTTAACTGGGGAAGCTGGGTTTGGTGACCCACAGAGCTTGAGCCTTCTGGTGGAGTAACAGACCCCTTTGTGCATTTATTAGCAGACCTGAAAGAACTTTATAACACGTCCTGATTAAAAAAAAAAAATCCTGAAAATTTCTCACTGGCATTACAAACTGTTAACTTCTTTAAAAAAATTATTTAATCATGTATTTTGTTTGTGAGTTCTGTGTACCCATTGTAATAAATATTAGATTCTAGAGAGGTAAAATAGAGAACATTAATTAAGACAACACAGATATTAACACCAGGGCTCCTTACTAGAAGCAGAAGGTTAGACAAAACCAATAATAGCCAATATAGAAGAATTTTATTGTCAACTATTATAAAAAGTTCCAAACCCATAAAAGTAAACAGTATTTTAACATATATGATCATGATCTTTGCCACAATGATTAAACCAAGCACAGCAGTAGGATGCTGTGGGAGGAATGGTCGATGCCAAAATTGGTAAAGGAAAACGGAGGGTGGAGACCTGTAGTAGAAGAACCTGTAGGGAATATAATTCAGTAGAAAAAAATGGATCTCTTAAATTCTCTTAAATAAATGAATGAATAAACAAACTTAAACACAAAGTTCTCTATTATTGAGCAGTAAGAGTCATTAAATTTAAATGTCCCCTGGGGTAAAAAAAAAAAAAGCAATATTATGGTTAACATTTTATGGAAAATGGTGAAGAGGGGGCATATCCGGCCTCCTCTGGCTTCCCTGCTGCCAGGCAGCAGAGGTCAGACCTGCCTCCATCCTCTAGCTTTCTTTACCTAGAATGACACCAATCATTCCTCCCACAGCACTCCACTGGTAGGCTGCATTCTGTAATTCACTGCAATGGCTACAAACTCACAGACCATCTCCTCCAGGAGACAAAGGATGGTGACGTGATCTCTACTTTTACTAAAGTAGAGCCTTAATCCCACATTAATCTTGTCTATTAACATAGCAGAGAACTCGCCACAATGAGATTATAGACAGGCATAAAGGCATGAATTTATATTACATAAAGGATAATGGCTGTAAGGACCGTACTGAGTAACTGACTACATCTTGCATTTATTAAGCATTAAATATATGCCCAAACCCATTCCAAATGCTCAATTTACATTCAACATTTCATCCTCTCAACCCTATAAGGAAGCTTCATAACCATTACTTTCATTTCCTCACAGAGAAAACGGAGGTACAGGGAGATCAAGTAATTACAGGAGACCAAGTCACAGTTAGTAAGTGGTGAAGTCAAACAGAACTCATTCCGCCTGCTGCAAAGTTCATGTTGTTGACTCCCACACTACCTGTGACTGCTCAGCAATGAGAGAAACAAACCAGATATAAAACAAGGTGGGAGAGGAGGGTGGGAGTCTGTGAGTCAACTATAGCACCGTTTACCTGGCCTAACTTTTCTAGGTATACTATAAACCTGGGACTTCATAGGAAATGTATGTCTCGTTGCTGACACTTTCAGTCCATCTTGCTGAAGATCTGCTTTTTAGGGACTCTCTACTTTACTGATCATCATGCTCCAACTTCAGGTTCTGGTCCCTACTGATGGCATGTACAAAGTAGGCAATGGCTTGCCATTCTCACTTCTAAAGAGAATTCTGGCTGTAATTCTTCCGAGGAAGATGTGTTTTTCTAGGACTCCCTGACACATGTACTATTTCTCATCAATGATTCATCATAATTCAAAGCCAGCCGTTCTTCTTCCGTTTTCCTTTATCCACTGCCCATCCTTCATAAACCAGTGAGGAAACTGATAGCACCATGGCTTGGGCCAGGTGCACCTTAGTCTTAAACAGGACGGCCTTGCGCTACAACACTTTAAGAGGGCGTGTGCAACAGATCTATCTGCCCAATACAACGGACTGTTGGATTTCTCCACTGCTGCTTGCATGGTTGATACTGTCTCCAGGAGAAAACGAAAACCTTGACAAGTTCAATCTTTTCTGTAGATTATCATATTGCTTATTGGTCCAGTTGTGAGGAGTTTTGTTTTCTTATGTTGGGCTATAATCCATATTGACAGTTGTAGTCTTTGATCTTCATCAGTAAATGCTTTGAGTCCACTTCTCTTTCAGCAAGCAAGGTTGTGTCTCATCTGCACATTGACTGTAAGTCTGCCTTTAATTCAGATGCCATGGTCGTCTAAGATAATCCAGCTTTTTAGATAATTGTCCAGCAAGGGACCCCATGACCACGAAACATCCCCTTCTGAGTGTTGGCAAGAATTCTGTACTCAAATGAAAAAGAAAATTGTGTGGCAAATGTTAAATATATTTTAATATTGCATTTGGCCCATGGGCACTTATTTTAATGTTAAGATTCTCTTTATAATGCATATTAGCTATATATTGTTAATACTCTTAAATTACGATAACATCACTTATTTGAAAATGTCTGTTCCACGGTAACAACTAGGTTTCCTTAAGGTTTCTTTAACATCCACTGTTTTCAAGGAGCTGTGGTGGTGCTGTTGGGTGAGTACCGGACAGCTAGTCAAAAGATCCGCGGTTCAAATCCATTAGCCACTCTGTGAGAGAGAGACGAGACTGTCTGCTCCCATAAAGATTTAGGAACTTTTCATAGACTTGATATGAGCCAAAATCAACTCGATAGCAATAGTCTTATATCATAATTTGCAATCTCATTAACTGACTTTAATTTTACAATACACTTCTACTGGTAAAGGTTACAAATATCTTAAAAATATAAAAGGTTTATTTATACACTTTATGATAAAATTGACAAGTAAACTGGTATCCAATTTGTTTTTTCAAAACTTTAAAAAAATTCTTGCATTTCTAGAGCTAAAATAAAAGTTTCCAACACAATGATGTTCACACAATCGTTCAAGATGCTAAAAGATATTTAAGGTCTTTTTGACGCATTAGAAAGTTAAGTTCAGGAAGTCATTCAGTGAAATTAGCTTTCATTATAATTCTTTAGAAATTGACAACAGAAGTCTATAATAACACCCCATAAACCAGAATTCAAAACTAGCCAAGTATAAACAGGTGGGGGGGGGGGATCATTGCCATCAAGTTGATTCCAACTTATTCAATCAGGCAGCCATTTAATCTTATTCTTTGTTTAGGTCTATAAATTGAAACTAATTCACTTTAATGGTTTTATAATTCAAAATTTAAAAGCCTTCTAACTAGTAATAACAAGTTATTTTCAAGAAAGCTATTGAAAAGAAATT